TCAGTCAGCAGTCAACGGGCAGCAGGCGGCCGGCAGCAGGCAGTAGTCGATAGCTATAGCAGTCACTGTATCATAATAAAACGTCTAATTCTACCAATTCGACATTTTGCCGGACATTAGAGCTGCGAATTATGGTTCAATTTAATGAACAACTTTTATGGGTTTTATGAACTAAAGAAACTTTTAGTTTTCTCAGCAACTTTTCGACAAGTTCAGCTCTGGTACAAAATAGTTTGGGCTTATTTGGCAGAGTTGCGCATGAAGAGTGTTTGGAATATCTAGTTGAATTTGATCAAGAAGTCTAGAGTGGTTTAGTTCAGGAGTCTAGTTCAGCTTATTCCAAACCAATCATTCAGGAACTAGTCCAGTTCGAATTGAGTTTGTTTGCGATAGTTTCGAACTTACACGGTTCAGTTTACTTATTTTTGAGCTGTTCTTAATGTCCCTATTTCAGTTCCGAAGCGAGATTGTTTACTAGTTCCTTTGCTATGATTAATGATTTAGTAAAGCTGGAAATTCTAGTTAAATATGATGGCTAAACTGAGATCTATCGATATTGATATATTTGATTTAATACTTCAGTAGTTGACTGGTTCATGAACTACATATCAGATTGAATAGATCATGAATCCGCATAGTTCATGTACTGAAAACTGGCTACTTAAATGTTTTAGCAGTTTCCATTTAGCAAGCCTAAACCAAACACTTTTACCAACAATTGTTTGAAAGAAAGGTTTCATTTGACAAATTTCCTTATTCATTTCCATAACCAGTTCAATTGAGCAACTTTCAACAGCTCTGGCGGACGGATAAGACGCAGCAATGAGAAAAACAAACACAAGCAAGACAAACCAACAGACAAAGGCTTAAGTTCGCCTTCGTCCCATTCGGTTTGTGTTATCTGTGCGGCTTCGATTTTGAAATAATATTTAATGACCGTAAAATTATATAGAATGCTAAATTTGAATTCAGTTTGCTCTACTCTTCGCCTCTAGCTGACTGCATTTGTTTTTATTGCCAGACTTTGAGCAATAATCATATTGTGGTTTGTTGGTTTGACATTTAGGAGGCTAGAAACTGATTAGCAATGGGATATAAGGACGATGTACGATACGATACGACGAGCTGAAGTTGCTGGCCATAAAAGTACAAATTGAAATGGAACCATAAAGAGAAAGTCCAATTGAGTGCCTAATGCTAATTGCTGTACTAATTAGTTCAGCTTAATTGGAGATGATTATTATATAATATATTGAAGAGATGCTTAACATTTTACTCAGATTTGATGGAGCAAATATACAATTTGCGGGAATAGTTTTAGTTTTATTTAGCTGGAAACTTATATTAGAAAATTTTATAATATATTGAAGAGATGTTTAACCTTCTACTCAGATTTGTATACAATTTGCAGGAATAGTAAGAAGATTTTACTTTGCTGGAAATTTATTTTATTATTAGAACAATGATTTATGGCCATTTTAAGAGACAGCTTTATATAGACAGGTTTCTCTATCAATATACAAATTGATAATATATAAATAGCTAATTTTATTTTAATTAAGTTTTTCTACATGAAGATCAAAATATCTTACTTTATGCTTTTCAGATTTGATATGTGTAGTAAGCCTTTTATATGCTGGTATATGGAAAACGCGTAAGTAGTTTTTATTTGAGTCTTAAGCATATACAACTGAATTGAGCTGCCACTTGAAGTCTTTGGTAGTTCTGACCAAGTGTAACTACTTTCGATAAATTCTACTTGTTATTGCTGTCAGCACTCTCTCGCTCGCTCTCTCTGCCTCTTTTTTGATATATATAATATATTCAACGCACACATCGGACAGACTCTTAAAATGGCCATAAAGCAAATTGTGAAAAATTATTGTGTATATAAAATTTAATGACATGTCAAAAAGGATATCCGGCATACGGCACAAATGGCGAACGAAGTGGAGTAACTGAAGCAAAGAATGGGCGTTGCTCTGACATCGTCAATGTCCTCAGTCGTTGTCCTTGCGGTGCTGTTTCTGTGTGGAGCACCAGTAGCAGTAGCTTGTTGTTTGTGGGTGGTATATTTAATGTGCTGTAAGTCCTGCTACATATGACGCTGACAATTTTAGTTTAGTTGTTGTCGTATTTGGTATTTGGTATTTGGTATTTACTTCTTCACAGTGACGGAGACAGAGACAAAGAGAGAGAGGGAGAGAGAGAGCAAGAAATACATAATCAAGCGCAACTTTATTATTTTGTCGAACAACAACTGTTTCGTGTGGGTTACTACGATGCCCTCAAAGCCCGTCTCTCTGCAGCTCGTTATGGCCGTCATCATTACGCCTTGTCTTGCCTTGGCCTGCTCTGGTCTGTTCGGGCTTTGGCTCTGGCACTGCCACTGGCTTCGCTCTGGTCTGGCTGCACATTTTATAGTTTTCAAAAGTCACAAAAATGTCAATTGCTTGTCATGTGCGCTCCCCGAACGCCAAAATGCCATTGAATAAATTATATTGTGGCCATAAAATTGTTGCTGCCTGCTGCATGTTTTACCATTCCAAAGTCTCACGTCCTACACCATGTCCGGGCTTACTTAGTAATGCGAGCTACAAACAGCATCCGCTTTCTTCTTTTCCAGCGCTGGCCAGCACGAGCAGGGGGATCAGCTGTTTATTTGCATGTGCGGGCTAATCAGGGAGCTGAGCTCCTCAAAATTGATTCCTACCCGCCACCCCTTAACCCCCTCTGTGGAGAGGGCGCTATGCAGGGGCATGGCAGCCGCTGTTTTGCTTATTAGATCACCCTCGGCGCTTGTGATAATGACGCCATAAATGCTGAATTATGGCTGCACGCCAACCCAAAAAAATAAAAACAATAATGCTTGAAATACGAATAACCAACTAAAAGATACCCTGTAAATGGCTTTATTGGCGTGTGTATAAAAGACAATCTATATGATGCTTATACACAGGTCGTATCATTTCGCTTTCTGTGCGACCTTTTGTTAGTCTTTAAGACATATTTTATGTCCCTAGCAAATGAATTAATTAAGCTTTGATCACTCTCCGATCTCTGATTTCTCTTCCATCTCTGATCACTGATCGCTATCTCCGAGCTTCGGTCTCTCTCCGATCTATGATCACTGATCGCTATCTGCAATTTTTGATCTCTCTCCGATCTCTGTTCACTGATCGCCATCTCCGATCTTTGCGCTCTCGCCGATCTCTGATTACTATCGTTTATCTAAGAGCTTGAATACCATTTTAGAGTTCTTCTTATAAAAAATATGTTAAGTACCGATATTGATCGTTATCTAAGAGCGTTAATATAGCTAATCATTCTCTGCGCTCTGATCTCGGGCTTTTGAGTCTTGTGAGATATTTATGGAGTATACAAACGGCAACTAATATCTGCTCTATCTATGCTCTCTGACCACCTTCTAGATAAATCCCTCTGTCAGCTAAGTCAACTAGTGCTAATAATAGAACCTTTCTTCTGCCTGTTACAAACATTCATAGAAATCTATATTGCCATGCCATACTACAGGGTACATTAAGAAAACAAAACTTGAGTTTTCGGTTTTCTTGTGAACTTAAGACCTTTTGAATTTTAATCAAGCTAAATATTGAAGCAGTTGCTGTAGCTCGTATTTTCACTTTCATTGCGCTGTTTATGTAGTCGAACGTTGGCCATATATAGATATGGCTGGTCGCCACATCCACTCATCCTTGTTAGGATGTGTTAATGTTCCACGCTTGAATGGCGCATAAATTTCTTTATGCGGTTCTTTATGCTCTACCATTTGTCTAACTGGGGTGACTGTCTCTGGCTCTGGACTCGACTCGACGCTCGACTGGCTGAAGTAATTGAAAATATTTGAAATAATTCATAAAATTTTATGTGATTTGCTCTTTGAAGTCCGCATTTATACATATCCATTTGCCAAGGCCGTTAAAAAATAGTTTCTGCTCTCACTCTCTTCAGATAATTCAGCGTTGATAATTGCTTTAATGATGCCATAACGTCGCCTTGATAGCGCCCTTTAATTTATGTGCCTCTGTCTCAGTGCCAACCGAAACTCCCCCAGGGCTAGCCTCCAGCTAGATACAATTACTTGTGTGTATGTTTATGTATATGCATATCGTCACGATTTGTATATGAATAAGTAAGCCGTCTCTTTTGCCATTGCATGATTTATACACGGACTGCGTTATGGGGCCCACCTGTATGGAGCTGTATACCTGGGCACACTTGTCCCTGTACAACCACTTGAAAAACGTTAAATAAGTTGTCTAACCACACATTAAACCAATTTCGCTGTCCGGCTGTTGGACTGGCTGGCACCTTACTTTGGCTGGGTTTGTTTTTGGGCCACGCCCACGCACCACACACATACACAGCAGTTTTTTGGGCGCCATAAATCATAGGGAGGAACACGTATGTGACTACTTTAGCTCGGGGATCGATAAATTATTATTAGTTGGCCGGCCGTTGGGTCCGCAGCAAAGGAAGTTGTTAGACCCAACCGAAATCCTAGCCGCTGCGGTTCAAATGCCTTTTAACTTAACAACTTTTTCTGCCAACACCAAACATCAGCACAAACACACACACAAATCAATGAAGGACTTTGTCCTTGTTAGCCGTGTTTGCTGCTGCATTGGCCGAACCCTTAACGTTGTGTGTAAAGTGGACTTGACACGAGATTAACATCTTCAAAAGCATAGCTTAAAGTATTTGTTAGAGTTCGTTGAAGTTCTTCCTCGGACTAAGGCGCGGTCTGTTTCGCCAACCTCCTTCGAGTCCCTTTTGGATAATTGCGTTCTTGTGCGCTGAGCCATGAGCTTAACTGTTGCTGTCATAACTAAGCGAAAAGGTATACAATTTATGAAAACGTCGTACACTCCCAGCCAGTGGCTGACTCCTACCTACCGACAGGTGTACACCCGCTTGGCACATTCGCCTGGAACAAAGAATGACCCACGACATGTGTATATTATAACAATTTTCGTTTGGATTTATTTTGTTGATTTCAATCGTTAAACAATGGCAAAACAGGATTCTTACTTACGACCTAGTAGGAGTTGGTGGGGCGTGTAAGAGGTTCTAATCGTATACAGGCAGGTAGCAGCTGGCGCGCTTACAAGGCACGACGATGACGCAGTTTCAAACGACGTACAGTCTTGTATTGGTATCCATCATCAGCGAGAACAGCGGAATCTTGGGCGGGTTCCTCAACTGGGAGCTCGGTGGATACTTCCTCAGCTGGAGGCAAGTAATCATTGGCAATCTCGGAAACATCACGGCGTTGACGGTACTTCAGACGACGGACAGTCTTGTATTGGTATCCATCAGCAGCGAGAACAGCGGAATCTTGGGCGGGTTCAACTTCTTCGACTGGGAGCTCGGTGGATACTTCCTCAGCTGGAGGCAAGTATTCGTTGGCAATCTCGGAAACATCACGGCGTTGACGGTACTTCAGACGACGGACAGTCTTGTATTGGTATCCATCAGCAGCGAGAACAGCGGAATCTTGGGCGGGTTCCTCAACTGGGAGCTCGGTGGATACTTCCTCAGCTGGAGGCAAGTAATCATTGGCAATCTCGGAAACATCACGGCGTTGACGGTACTTCAGACGACGGACAGTCTTGTATTGGTATCCATCAGCAGCGAGAACGGCGGAATCTTGGGCGGGTTCAACTTCTTCGACTGGGAGCTCGGTGGATACTTCCTCAGCTGGAGGCAAGTAATCGTTGGCAATCTCGGAAACATCACGGCGCTGACGGTACTTCAGCCGACGGACAGTCTTGTATTGGTATCCATCATCAGCGAGAACAGCGGAATCCTGGGAGGGATCCTCAACAGCGATCTCAGCAACAGGTTCTTCCGAGGGAGGAAGGTACTCGTTGGCAATCTCGGAAACATCACGGCGCTGTCGGTACTTCAGACGACGGACAGTCTTGTATTGGTATCCATCATCAGCGAGAACAGCAGAATCCTGGGAGGGTTCCTCAACAGGGAGCTCAGTGACAGCTTCTTCAGCTGGAGGCAAGTATTCGTTGGCAATCTCGGAAACATCACGGCGTTGACGGTACTTCAGACGACGGACAGTCTTGTATTGGTATCCATCGGCAGCGAGAACGGCGGAATCTTGGGCGGGTTCAACTTCTTCGACTGGGAGCTCGGTGGATACTTCCTCAGCTGGAGGCAAGTAATCGTTGGCAATCTCGGAAACATCACGGCGCTGACGGTACTTCAGCCGACGGACAGTCTTGTATTGGTATCCATCATCAGCGAGAACAGCGGAATCCTGGGAGGGATCCTCAACAGCGATCTCAGCAACAGGTTCTTCCGAGGGAGGAAGGTACTCGTTGGCAATCTCGGAAACATCACGGCGTTGACGGTACTTCAGACGACGGACAGTCTTGTATTGGTATCCATCAGCAGCGAGAACGGCGGAATCTTGGGCGGGCTCAACTTCTTCGACTGGGAGCTCGGTGGATACTTCCTCAGCTGGAGGCAAGTAATCGTTGGCAATCTCGGAAACATCACGGCGTTGACGGTACTTCAGACGACGGACAGTCTTGTATTGGTATCCATCAGCAGCGAGAACGGCGGAATCTTGGGCGGGCTCAACTTCTTCGACTGGGAGCTCGGTGGATACTTCCTCAGCTGGAGGCAAGTAATCGTTGGCAATCTCGGAAACATCACGACGCTGACGGTACTTCAGACGACGAACTGTTTTGTAACGGTAACCATCTTCTCCTACAGCGGTGGGGTCTTGGGCAACGTTCCCGATGGGTGCATCGGCCGCAACTTCCCCTAGTGGTGGGATATACTCATTCACGATCTCGGAGACATCACGACGGTGCCTGGCTTGTTCGACAGGAATCACTGCAGCCGTCGCTGCGGCAATGAACATGCACGCAATGAAGAGTTTCTGCAATTATGTTGAACGTTTCCACAGTGAGAGAAGAATAACGTTTAATAATCCTTGTGGTATCCTCAGCTACCTACCATTTTGGTATAGATTTCCAAAGCTAATTGTGTTATCGATGGAATCTATGGGTCGAATGATTAATAGTCGCAATTTGTCGGCATATTTATACGCTCTGATGTTTGCTAAGCGCCGACGTAAACACACATAAACCAAACAATGACCAACACTTTGTTTGCCCCGTCTCTCCAAATAGCAACAAAGCACCCGGCAACAGTTAAAGCCCGAGTTTCGGTCATTAAGACAAGTCAGGGCATTTGCAAGCCAAATGCTCGCACATGGTCCCACTTACGGCCTCAAGTGCCCCATGCCCTGCCTCTGCTTCTGCTTCTGCCACCGCTTTAACTTTGGCTATAGCCAAACAGTTCATCATTTCTCAGATGTTGCTGCTGTTGGACCGAAAGCCGGTTCGCATCTAGACAGAGCGGAACTAAATACATTGTTTCACTTTCGTCAGCGCGTTCGAATGTTTCACGGTCAAGAGCTACCAAAATATAATAAGATTTAATGCAAAACAAAAATAAAATAAAATAAAATATTCTTTAAGATGTATTAATGACAATCAAGTATCTCCACTGTCATAAGAGCTTTTATTTTAAAATTTTGCCTTTTACGTTTTATCGTATCGGTAATTTGCGTATTACTATAACATATGTATATATATAGATACATATAGTTATCTATATAGTTTGGTTCAACGAACTGAGTCAAAGTTTTATAGAAAGGTCGTTTGTGAATGGTTTTGAGTTGAAGACTTTGCTCGTGTTTGGTTCTGTTTGCGTTTGATGATATCATGACGTACTGCGTAAATGTGTACATTATCAGCTAATTGAGCGAGCCGGGACTTGTTTATGGCTAGAGCAAGTTGGTAATGGCTTCGCTTGTAAATCCAGTTACTGCTATAAGGATATTAAAAAGATTCCACCAAAAATGTAGTCAAGGAACAAAAACAGCTTACAAATTGTGCGCATGTTTTATGCGTTGGCGCAAAACTTTGGCTATGAAATTCATAAACTTGGCCAAAACAAGCAGCCAGGCAAAAGTAGCACTGGCAGCCATAGCAGCCGTGGCAGCAGCAGCCTGTGCCAGCGTCCTCCATCAACCAGCCAGCATGTGGGACAGTTAAAAGTTTTTCACAAATCATGCATATGATGTTGGGGCACTTTTTGCCGTGGCACACAGCTGCTAAAGCCGCCCAAAAGGCAACTAATTAAAGGAGCCAAAGACACAGAAGACGAACCACCAAAAAAGTTCGCCTCCACTCAAAGCTCGCCGGGATATGTGTGTGAAGTGCCAGCCAGCCAGCTAGCTCCGAATTCAGAATGTGGTAAACAAAACAAATGGAGTGTGCAATCTGTCGTAAACACTCATAAATTTCCACTACAGTCCCAACTCAGGCGGCCAACTATCGCCAGCATCTGCACCTAAGCTCAACCCAAAAACCCTGAGCAGCGTTATCAACAGTGCTGCCAAGATTGCTAACAAACTAGCCAAAAAGCTAGTTTCCAGCGGGAAGAAGCTTAAGCATATTTATATAAAGGAAAAGCATGTTTAGTAGTTTGATATCTTGCATGTGGGAAACTTAGCTGGATACTAAGCTTTGATAGTTGCTTAAGATATTGTAAACGATCTATCAATTATCAATCAAATTTCGTAGGAAGGCTTTTCAAGTGCTGAATGCAAAGCAGAAATAAGAAACACATCTGATAGCTGACGCATTACGGAAGTACCCCAGAAGAGGTATAGTTTGAAGAGAGAGAGTTGGGCAGAGAGAGGTGCAGAGCAGCTAGCTGTTCACTATGATAGAATAGAAAATAGATTAGACAATATATGGAAGATATGTCAACATGTGGGAAAATATGGAGAAAGCTACGAAGGACACCTGAAAAATATTTGTCTAGATATTTCAGAAACTTAGATCCACTTCAAATTGATTTTCTACCATTTTAACGTTATTATAGTGTCAAATATGAACTCAGCATGTCAAAAAAAGTTTGATTCCTATTTACAAACTTTGACCAAAGTTTGTTGGAGTGTGTTAATTCGTTTTCTTCGAAAGAAATCAAGCCAAACTCAGCATTTTCAGGTTAAACTAGTTGGCAACACTGGCTGACAATGTTTATCGCCATCATTCAAAACGCCACTTGCGAAATCTTGTGCAGCAGCTGAAGAGTTTTCGTCGGCGGTTTTGTTAGCTGAACTGAAGCATGAACATCCAATGACACATTCTAATATAATATAAACGATGTTTTATGACAATCAATTTGTTACAATTCAATAGACACACAACAACCAGCAGTGCGTGTGCGTGTGTGTGCTCTCATTTATGTGATTATTTGATTTGTGTGTTTGACGTTGACATTCATACGGAACTCGATGCCGATACTACGACGACGCTGACCCCCACACCGTAGCCAAATCTCTGGTCACATAACGAATTTTATGAACTAGAAAGTATCATTAATTTAATACGCATACGCGTACGCAGAGCCAAGGATATGCCGGCATGGGGAACGTTAGTTATGGCTATTGTAATGTAAATACGCGACATGCAATCATAAATAAACATTCGACACAAACACAATAAATGTCAGAAACTTTTGCCCATTATCCATTCGGCAGTTAATGCCAACTCCTTTCGTTCGCCATACAGCGCTTTATTATTTTAATGATTTTTCAGCGCCGCTCTGTCCAGAGCTCCTTCTCTCTGTGGCTCTGAAGCTGCGATCTTTTCAGTCGCTGTTCCATTGTGCTCACATTTATAATTCAATTCGCTAGCAGCTCGACAGCGGCACTCACAGCTCCAGCTCCAGTTCCAATTCCAGTTCCTCTTTCAGTTGCAGTCGACCGACGGCTTGATGTACTCTTTGCTCTTGGGTATTAATACTTTGTCAGTATTTGTGTATTCGAGTTAATATACACATATATGCATCTATATATGATTAGATACATAATTCTATTTTTCTATTTATAAAAAATTTCCTAGATTCTTAAGCCTTTTGAATGCCATTTACTTATACTTAGAGCTGTAGATTTTTCTTGTCACCTCAACTCTTTGCCTTCTAAATTATTCCAATTATTACATCTAAAATATATTTGCAAGAGTATATGGATTTCGACTCTTCTAGGAAAATCGCGCTTTCTTATTCCTCTTGCTCCCTCGGTTATTATTTTACATGTCGTTCGTTGGCTCACTATAATTTATTAGCAATTTGCATAATTTTCTTTTATTAAGCAGTTGCCGTTGGTTTCATTGTGCCAACTTTTTGATTTAAATGCGGCTGCTGGTGCTGTAACTCCTTCTGTCATCGTCATCGTTGTCGACGTCGTCGTCGTCCTCGTCATCAACTCTTTTCGGGCAATGTTATGCAAATGTGGCTCGTAATACCCATAAGGTCTGGTAGTTTATGGCATTACAGCCCTTGTATTATTATTGTCGACTGTCAAAATCATGAATACATTTTGCGCTCCGTCTACGCGATGGGTTTCTCGAGTCAAGGTCAACACACACACTTAATGTTTTGGCCATATTTAAAAAGCCATTAATTGACATGCAATTATGCTCCAAGAAGAACTAATATTTAAATACACTCACCTAAATGCTTAACTTTCCATTAAAACTGAGTTTAAGAACTTTCGACTTCAAATAAAAAAGAACTTGAATAAACACAGAAGGCAGCTAACAGATAGCTCATTAAGAGAGCATATGCTTGAGGGAAGAATATGGAGCTGGGGTAGATAAAGGGCGTGACCACATCATTAAACAATCTTCAAAACTACTTTTGGGGAAAGAGAGAGAGAGAATGAGCAGCAGCTGCTTTGTAGTCAATGCTTAAGTAAAACTAAATGAAACTATTTAAAATACAATTTACTGCAAATCAATCGGGCGGGTATTTGTAATTAGAAAACCAACACAAACACACACACATGAACACACAATTCTACTGGGGGGCGATGTAGGCGTGTCACAATGCCTTGAGCCTGTGAGTCTGTGGCCAAGACTGAGACGCAGACTGACTCAGATGTGTTTATTTGTTTGTCTGTTGGCCTCCACAGTTTGACTTGAAGGTATTAGAAACTAATTTGTTGCAGCAGAGAGAGAGAGAGAGAGAGAGAGCGAGAGCATGGGACACAAAGAGGCAATTGTTTGCCTGTCCATCTATCTCAGAGGCTTTAGTTCGGGTCTCGAGTCATCAGGCTATGGGGCTTTGGCCTTTTGTCAGGCAAGCACAAAAATCCAAAGGCAAAATCCAAATCCTTGGCAAGAACAAAGCACAGACAAGGACCAAATCATATGCTCTGACTCTGTCCGCCTCTTCCGGCAGTTGGACAGCCAAAAAACAAAAAAACAAAAACAGGACTCATCTCGTTTTTAAGTCGCTTGCGGCTTAAATTTTCTTAAATGTTAGATTGTCTTTACCAGCTGGCATAACAACGGACAGCACATGCCAAGTTTTTATGGATTAACTAAACAAGCTCATGAGTAAATATTTTCAAGCATATTTTGGCAAACTTTACACAATGAAGTTGACGACGTTTCGCTTCCCCAGGCATGCTCTCTTGCCTAGAATTTTGAGCTACGCACTGCTAAATTTGCCACACACACACACACACACGCACACACACTTATAGTCTTCAAGAAATCCGCACAAATATTTGCTTAAATTTTGTTGTCAAAATAAGCAAAAATATGCGCAGTGTACGCAGCATTTAAAGTTTTGCTTTGCCCAAAAAATAGTCGAACTAACTGAAATTCATTACAACAAATACTTGACATACGCTAACAGCAAAGTCTTATAACTTGGTCAGAGAGTGTAAGAAATGCCTAAAGAATTAATATATATATATATTAGATTTGAATAATGTTTATATATATTTAGCTCTGAGTTGATTAGAATCTGCATATATCACTTACCATAGTATTGTCATAGCAACTATTTGACTTCCAGTTCCTATGACAGCAGTATATGATATATGATATATGATATATGACATGTTATGATATGTGCTAAATCGTGCTATACAAATTTTAGACTATAGAAATATATATATATCATTTGCTTTATCATTATTAATATTGACAGATTTGTCAAGCATATTATATAGTCGATCCGTGATGAGCAACATGCATTGAGAAGTAATTCAGAGTACAGTGTAGCCCTCAGTCTCTCTAGTCAATCCATCAGTCAGTCAGCGTTGCTTTTCAGAGCTACAAACAGTTCAGCATACATTGTTGTAGCTCACTCATCTCAGTGCAGCATAGATCTCATCCACATAGAGAATTCTATTTGAATTCCTTATGAAATTTGTAGAAATGAGAGCTAATACAACCTCACTTCACAGTTATCCCAACTTTGATTAACTGAAATGACAAAATAGTTTAAGGAAGATTCCAGGAATTCGTTGTAAATTATTAGAAAATGTAGACAAGATACAGTGCAGTTGTCATACAACTTTTCCATTCCTTATTTGCATTGATTAATTTTATAAAATGTTATTTAAAATGGCAAAGAGCAGCAACGCCCAGGTGG